GGATGAGCGAGTTTGGGGCGGAGGAACTTGACTGGCCTGCACAGACTTGACCTCAACCCGATAGAACACCTTTAGGATGAATTAGAGAGGAGACTGTGAGCCAGGCCTTCTCGTTAGACATCACTGCCTGATCTCACAAATGCTCTTCTGGAAGAGTGGTCAAACATTCCCATAGACACACTCCTAAACCTTGTGGACAGCCTTCCCAGAAGAGTTGAAGCTGTTATAGCAGCAAAGGGTGGGCCAACTCAATATTGAACCCTACGGACTAAGACTGGGAGGCCATTAAAGTTCATGTGTGTGTAAAGGTGGGCATCCCAATACTTTTGGCTATATAGTGTGGGTGTGTATGTATATAAGTATGTGTGTGTGTATGTGTATGTGTGTGTATATATATATATATACAGTCATGGCCAAAAATTGTTGGCACCCTTGATATTTCTCCAGGAAATCATGTATTTCTCACGAAACGTATTGCATTAACACATGTTTTGCTTATACACATGTTTATTCCCTTTGTGTGTATTGGGACAAAACAAAAAAAAGGGAGGAAAGAAAGCAAATTCGACATAATGTCACACAAACCTCCAAAAATGGGCTGGACAAAAGTATTGGCACCCTTTCACAACTGCGGATAGAATGTTACAAGCATGTGATGCTCCTGTAAAACTCACCTGGGGCAAGTAAACAGGTGTGGGCAATATAGAAATCACACCTGAAAGCAGATAAAAAGGAGGAGACGTTCACTTAACCTTTGCATTGTGTGTCTGTCTGTGCCACACTAAGCATGGACAACAGAAAGAGGAGACGAGAACTGTCTGAGGACCTGAGAACCAAAATTGTGGCAAAATATCAACAATCTCAAGGTTACAAGTCCATCTCCAGAGAACTAGATTTGCCTTTGTCCACAGTGCGCAACATTATCAAGTTTGCAACCCACTGGCACTGTAGCTAATCTCCCTGGTCGTGGACGTGATGAGGAAAATTGATGAAAGATTGCAACGCAGAATAGTCCGGATGGTGGATAAGCAGCCCCAAACATGTTCCAAAGACATTCAAGCTGTCCTGCAGCTCAGGGAGCATCAGTGTCAGCGCGAACTATCCGTCGACATTTAAATGAAATGAAACGCTATGGCAGGAGACCCAGGAGGACCCCACTGCTGACACAGAGACATAAAAAAGCAAGACTACAGTTTGCCAAAATGTACTTGAGTAAGCCAAAAGCCTTCTGGGAAAACGACTTGTGGACAGATGAGACCAAGATAGAGCTTTTCGGTAAAGCACATCATTCTACTGTTTACCGAAAACGGAATGAGGGCTACAAAGAACAAAACACAGTACCTACGGTAAAATATGGTTGAGGTTCAATGATGTTTTGGGGTTGTTTTGCTGCCTCTGGCACTGGGTGCCTTGACTGTGTGCAAGGCATCATGAAATCTGAGGATTACCAAAGGATTTTGGGTCGCACTGTAGGGCCCAGTGTCAGAAAGCTGGGTTTGCGTCCAAGATCCTGGGTCCTTCCAGCAGGACAATGACCCCAAACATACGTCAAAAAGCACTCAGAAATGGATGGCAAAGAAGCGCTGGAGAGTTCTGAAGTGGCCAGCAATGAGCCCAGATCTAAAATCCCATTGAACACCTGTGGAGAGATCTTAAAATTGCTGTTGGGAAAAGGTGTCCTTCCAATAAGAGAGACCTGGAGCTGTTTGCAAAGGAAGAGTGGTCCAAAATTCCGGGTGAGAGGTGTCAGAAGCTTATTGATGGTTATAGGAAGCGACTGATTTCAGTTATGTTTTCCAAAGGTGTGCAACCAAATATATTAAGTTAAGGGTGCCAAAATACTTTTGTCCAGCCCATTTTTGGGGTTTTGTGTGACATTATGTCATATTTGCTTTTCTGCCTCTGTTTTATATTTGTTCCAATACATACAAAGGGAATAAACATGTGTATAGCAAAACATGTGTTAATGCAATACCTTTTTTGTGTGAAATACTTGATTTTCAGGAAAAATATCAAGGGTGCCAACAATTTCGGCCATGACTGTATATATATATATATATATATATATATATATATATATATATATATATATATATATGCTGCTCAAAAAAATTAAAGGAACACTTTTTAATCAGAGTATAGTATCAAGTCCTGGTATATTGATCTGGTCTGTTAAGTAGCAGAGGGGGTTGTTAACCAGTTTCGGCTTCTTTTGTGTTAATGAAATTAACAGGTGCCTAGATCGGCAACAATGAGACAACCCCCAAAACAGGAATGGTTTTACAGGTGGAGGCCACTGACTTATTTTTTGCTACTCATCTGTTCTGACTGTTTTTCCCTAGTTTTGCATTTGGTTAGGGTCAGTGTCAGTACTGGTAGCATGAGGCGGTGCCTAGACCTTACAGAGGATGCACAGGCAGTTCAACTCTTCGAGGATGGCACATCAATATGTGCCATTGCCAGAAGGTTTGCTGTGTCTTCCAGCACAGTTTCAAGAGCATCAAGGAGATTCCTGGAGACAGGCAATTACTCTAGGAGACCTGGACAGGGCCATAGAAGGTTCTTAACCCATCAGCAGGACCGGTATCTGCTCCTTTGTGCAAGGAGGAACAGGATGAGCACTACCAGAACCCTACAGAATGACCTCCAGCACGCCATTGGTGAATGTCTTTGACCAAACAGAAACAGACTTCATGAAGCTGGCCTGAGGGCCCAATGTCATCTAGTGGGCCCTGTGTTCACTGCCCGGTACCATAGAGCTTGATTGGCATTTGCCATTGAACACCAGAATTGTCAGGTCCACCACTGGCACCCTGTGCTTTTCACAGATGAGAGCAGGTTCACGCTGAGCACATGACAGACGTGAAAGGGTCTGGAGAAGCCATGGAAAATGTTATGCTGCCTGTAACATCATTCAGCATGACCGTTTTGCTGGTGGGTCATTGATGGTCTGGGGAGGCATATCCATGGAGGGATCCACAGGCCTCTACAGGCTAAACAAAGGCACCCTGACTGCCATTAGGTATCAGGATGAAATCCTTGGGCCCATTGTCAGACACTACGCTGGTGTGGTGGGTCCTGGGTTCCTCCTGGTGCACAACAATGCCTGGCCTCATGTGGCGTGAGTATGTACGCAGTTCTTGAAGGATGAAAGAATAGATACCGTTGAATGGCCCCCACACTCGCCTGACCATAGAACACCTCTGGGATATCATGTTTTTGTCTATTGGATGCTGCCAGGTTGCACCTCAGACTGTCCAGGAGATCATTGCTGCCCTGGTCCAGATCTGGGAGGAAATACCCCAGGACATCATCTGTCGTCTCATTAGGAGCATGCCCCGATGTTGTCAGGCATGCATACAAGCATATCATATCCATGGATATGCTTGGTTACATTAGATGAGCGTAAACTTTTAATGGTTTTAACATTGCGCTGTTTATCTCCTCCTCACCTCCTCCTTGCCTATCTCCAGCACTGCACTCGGGGATTAGCAGGAGGGGAGAGACTGTGCAGTAAGATGGGCACCTATTGGGTTTTTCTTCAAGAAAGGTGAGTGTCGGGCTGTCTATATGCTCAGCAGAAGCGCATCTGCTGAGCGAGTTGATGTAGCGTCGGCCTCAATGAGAAAAAATATTTTATTCCTTCATGTTACCGTCACACACTAAAGCACTTGGGTGCTCACTACAAGCACATGCTGAGCAGCCAAATCAAGTTCTGGTGTCCCCTCCGTTAACCCCTTAGTGACTGAGGATAAAACAAATGTTAATGCTTAAGCACAATTTTGCAGCTTTGAAATGTGTTAGTAAAACTGTACATACCATCGCAACTACTTTGTGTAACCAGGTGGATTTGTACCTTGTTTTTTTCAGGACAAATTGGGCTTTTCTTTTGGTGGTAAATGGTAACAGATATCTGCTGATCTTTTTTAACTATCAAAGGAAAACTGGCTCAGAATAGTTAAAAAAAAAAAAAAAAAATAAAAAAAAAAAAAACATTTTTTTAATTTAGTGGTATACTTCTTTCTATTACTATAAATTTTCCACCAAAGAGCAACCCAAAATAAATTCTCCTGTTCCTGATGATTGCGATACCACATATGTGTATGTTTGCTGTTGTTTGTACCCATGGTAGGGCCCAGAAACAATGGTACACATTTTGCATTGTTTTTTTTTTATCCTGCCTAAAACACAATGACCCGAACTGAAATAAATTTTTACATTTTTGCTTTTGTGGGGGTTTGACATTTGACCCTTACCTTAACGCTAACCCTGGCAAACCTTGATCTAGTTATTTTTTTTTTTTACATACTTTTGTTTGCTTTTATCTTCCTCTCCTGTAAGAAGAGAAAGGTGCAGTGCAGCTTTTCCTTCATTCAGAAGAGGAAGTAAACACAGGAGCGGGCTCACCGTGACTGATAACTGTAATAGGCAATCAGCGGCTATCATAGCGGTCAGGTGACCCGAAACCAGGAGTCCTGGGTCCCAATTGTTAGCACAAGACTCAGGACTCTCGGTGACCACACAATCTCTCTGCAGCCTGCTCCAAGCAGAAAGAGATGTATGAGGCCCCACGGATAAAGACCCACTTTCATGAGGCTACATATATGCTCTACTGCTTGCCTGCAGTGGTCTAAATTTACAAAAAAAACACCTGCTCAGCACCCAGAACTACATGTCCCAGACGCTGGGCGATATGAATTGCACACCCCCTGTATGTATATATACTGTATGTAATATAAAATGCCAAGGGGTTACAGCACAGTAAGGATACACTTCTAGCCACTAATAAAGCCACGTCAGGCATCCCTGAGCTTTATAGTTACCAACCTGCACCATGTAGTAGAAAGTAAGAAATGAATGCTGCATATACAGACTGATTGTACTGTTGTGGGTTTAGTAACACTTTAAGTTAAAGATTTATTGTGCTCAGTTTTGGTTTTGCAATGCTTGTTCTTTCTTCTGAATATGTGCATTGATGCAAATGCATTTTTTTCTTATCTAGGAACCCTTTTAAAGCTGGACCAAAAAAGCAGATTGTCCCGAAAACAGTAAGTAACAGTAGTGGTCTTAGATTGAAGAAGAAAACTGTTCATTGCAGCCACAGGTCCACAAATCACTAGTTCCCTAAAACTGTTCAAAAAGGGCAGGCAGAGAGCAAGGGGCTAGTCACAATTATTGCCTGTGTTCTCCCTGTAGCTGATCTTTAAATAATTACTGATTTACCATGTCTTGTTCTGCACTGTGTGGAGGTGGCCATCTTGGTAGAGGCAGGGCTTAGCTACCTCATGCCACAGCCTCCAGCAAGAACAACAGCGAGCAGCAGTAACAACATCACCAAATCTCACTCCAAATCGGAGACTAGCAGTAAGAGGAAGCAAAAGCCTTAGATCTCATACTGCAGATATACAGCTATGAGGCTGTAGATACAGGAGTGTCTAGGCACACTCCCATACCAGGGAGTACACTGCTATATTCAGCAGGAAATCCAGACAAAACAATTTTAAATGGGACCACTAAGGCACATTGAATATTTTTTGGTGTTCCCAATAACATAGCAAATTTAAATTTTTAAGTTTGGTTCCACTTTTAGACTTTTGTTTACTATTATAGTTGGATGTGGTAAAAACATGCAAAACCACATTTTACCAATCCCCTTTAAAGCCTAACTCCAGGTTTTGACCAAGCTGGTCCAAATAACTATTTTCCTGAACCACTTGTTTACCAAGGTACAATTATAAACAGCATGGCAGACTAGTGGTTGATGCTGCAGCTGTGAGCCTGATACTGGCTTTAGGAGCTGGCGAAGGACTTTCCAATAAATGTGATCTGGTTGGACTCTAGGACCACCCAATCACTGTTATGGGCTGTCAAACTGTGCCAAACTGCCCCCCCCCCCCCCCCCCCCCCATCTGTGTATTACATCAATTCAGGGATCGGAGCTGTCATTTCTTGACCCCCAATGTCTTCATGAAGAGTGCCTATCACAGCTTGCTTGTATACGCAAACATCATTTGGGCCACACGTGAGGTATTGTCACTGACCTCGGAGTGAGAGCAATAATTCTAGGGTCAATATTCATGGTTAACTGCTGTAAACCTGCAAGCTTTAAAGCATCACTTATGGAGAATTTTGGGTACCATAGTTTGTTTTTTTATTTCATGTGCGTGTGCAATTTTAAGACTTGTTTGGTATACAGGGGTGTGGAAATTTTTGAAAAAACTACTTGTCCATGGACTAAATCAGTGCCCCAATCTACTTGTCCCTCATGACAATCTACTTGTCCAAATACAAAAAAAAAAATACATTTGAACCAAAACTGTATTTAAATCTGAGGTGTTTTTAGGGATGTCTGAGGCTTTTAAAATCAAAAGGGGCTTTATGGCGACTTAAACATTTAATAATTTTAATATTGCGCTGTTTATCTCCTCCTTCTCTCCCTGTCTCTCTCCAGCACAGCACCCAGGGACTAGCAGGGAGGGGAGACACCTTACAGTGTAATGAGCACCGATTGAGTGCTTGTCAGGAAAGGGAGTGTCCGGCTTATCTTTTATCCCCTTCGCTGCCAGTGCTGTTTTTGCATTTTTGCACACGTTTAAAAAATCATTTTAGGCCTGAAGATTACACAAATCCCTCAAACATTATATATTTTCTGAAAGCAGACACACTAGAGAATAAAATGGCAGTAGTTCCAATTTTTTTGTCACATGATATTGCCGCAAAATTTCAGTAAAAATACAAGTTAATTTTAGAGCACAAAAAAAGCAATAAATTACAATTTTTTTTTTTTTAAATATAAAAGAAGAGGTTGCACCAAGTAAATAGATACCCAACACATTAAACCTTAAATTTTCACGCGCTCGTGACATGGCGACGAACTTCAGTACCCCATATTTTCTATAGGTGACACTTTTAAAGCCCCTTATAGGTCATCAATATAGTGTTATGGAGGAGGTCTCATGCTAGAATTATTGCTCTCATTCTGGCGTGCGCTGCAATATGTAACGTGTATCTCAATCGATGTTTTCATATGTAGGCTTCTCAGCGTGTGCTTTAACATTTGTATGTGTGTATATGTGGGGGGGGGGGGGGGGGGGGGCTCAATTTCTTTGGGGGGAGGGGGGGGCGGGCAATGTTGTGTGCTTGGATGTAACTTTTATGTTTTACTATTTAAAAAAAAACTTCTTTTTTTTTTTTAATCACATAAAGGACAAAATCCCCATGTGATGATTTTTGGTGACAGGTTCTCTTTATTGAGACATCTAGGGTCTAAAAACACCCTTGATGCCTCCCCTGAATTTAATGCAGTGCACATTGCACTGCATTACATTCTTTCCCAGCCTCCATGGCCCAGAAATCTTTGAACGGGGACCTGGAAATGACATAACGTCACTTCCTGGTCAGGACAAGAATGGGAGGAGAGCGGATATGTGTCTTCCCCCCCCCCCCCCTCTAGCACTCTAGCAGACGGCAGTGAGCCGGTCCCAGGCCCGCAGATGGGAGCCCGGGGGGGGGGGGGGTTGGGGGTGTGAACGGAGGCTGGCACTGTGTGGAAGCAATCGGCCCCTGGTATATATTTACTTGATACAGCTACATACGTACAATGCTATGTTCAGGCAGCAGAAAGGGGCTTCCTGTCACACTCTCGGGACCAGCTTGGTCCAAATGAACTATTTAAAGTCACAAGAAATCTGTAGTTAGGCTTTAAGCTGAAAACTAACGGACAAGGATGTATACAGTCAGGTCCATAAATATTGGGACATCGACACAATTCTAACATTTTTGGCTCTATACACCACCACAATAAATTTGAAATAAAACAAACAAGATGTGCTTTAACTGCAGACTGTCAGCTTTAATTTGAGGGTATTTTCATCCAAATCAGGTGAACGGTGTAGGAATTACAACAGTTTGCATATGTGCCTCCCACTTGTTAAGGGACCAAAAGTAATGGGACAGAATAATAATCATAAATCAAACTTTCACTTTTTAATACTTGGTTGCAAATCCTTTGCAGTCAATTACAGCCTGATGTCTGGAACGCATAGACATCACTAGATGCTGGGTTTCATCCCTGGTGATGCTCTGCCAGGCCTCTACTGCAACTGTCTTCAGTTCCTGCTTGTTCTTGGGGCATTTTCCCTTCAGTTTTGTCTTCAGCAAGTGAAATGTATGCTCAATCGGATTCAGGTCAGAGGATTGACTTGGCCATTGCATAACATTCCACTTCCTTCCCTTAAAAAACTCTTTTGGCTTTTGCAGTATGCTTTGGGTCATTGTCCATCTGCACTGTGAAGCGGCGTCCAATGAGTTGTGAAGCATTTGGCTGAATATGAGCAGATAATATTCCCGAAACACTTCAGAATTCATCCTGCTGCTTTTGTCAGCAGTCACATCATCAATAAATATAAGAGAACCAGTTCCATTGGCAGCCATACATGCCCACGCCATGACACTACCACCACCATGCTTCACTGATGAGGTGGTATGCTTAGGATCATGAGCAGTTCCTTTCCTTCTCCATACTCTTCTCTTCCCATCACTCTGGTACAAGTTGATCTTGGTCTCATCTGTCCATAGGATGTTGTTCCAGAACTGTGAAGGCTTTTTTAGATGTCGTTTGGCAAACTCTAATCTGGCCTTCCTGTTTTTGAGGCTCACCAATGGTTTACATCTTGTGGTGAACCCTCTGTATTCACTCTGGTGAAGTCTTCTCTTGAATGTTGACTTTGACACACATACACCTACCTCCTGCAGAGTGTTCTTGATCTGGCCAACTGTTGTGAAGGGTGTTTTCTTCACCAGGGAAAGAATTCTTCGGTCATCCACCACAGTTGTTTTCCGTGGTCTTCCGGGTCTTTTGGTGTTGCTGAGCTCACTGGTGCGTTCCTTCTTTTTAAGAATGTTACAAACAGTTGTTTTGGCCACGCCTAATGTTTTTGCTATGTCTCTGATGGGTTTGTTTTGTTTTTTCAGCCTAATGATGGCTTGCTTCACTGATAGTGACAGCTCTTTGGATCTCATCTTGAGATTTGACAGCAACAGATTCCAAATGCATATAGCACACTTGAAATGAATTCTGGACCTTTTATCTGCTCATTGTAATTGGGATAATGAGGGAATAACACACACCTGGCCATGGAACAGCTGAGAAGCCAATTGTCCCATTACTTTTGGTCCCTTAACAAGTGGGAGGCACATATGCAAGCTGTTGTCATTCCTACACCATTCACCTGATTTGGATGAAAATACCCTCAAATTAAAGCTGACAGTCTGCAGTTAAAGCACATCTTGTTTGTTTCATTTCAAATCCATTGGGGTGGTGTATAGAGCCAAAAATGTTAGAATTGTGTCAATGTCCCAATATTTATGGACCTGACTGTACATGCCATGGCCACAATGTTTTGTATTGAGCACAGCAAATATAATCCCCTGTTCAACTGAGTGGGGCTGCACTTTATCTGCACTTTATCCTGCATGTACAATGCATGTGGATTTTAGGGGTTAAACAGGTGATTTAGTAGATGACATAATGCCTCCTCATGGCCTCCTCAGTTCCCTCTTAAATATCCACCTCTGATCACTCTTCAGAGGGTGAAACCAGTGTAAACGAGCCCATATAGATTATCTGACTTTCTACCTTTTTTTTTTTTTTTTTTTTTTCCACTTTTGAACTTGTTTTCTGCCCCATGTTACCCATTTATTGCAAGCAACTCTTGAACTCCTAATCTACTGGGACTTGTTTTTCCTTACACATGTTTATGTGTATGTACAATAAGCAACTTCTGCCTGTTCGTTTTAGCTGCGGTTCCTCAGACCACGTTTTGCAGTGTGAGCTGCATGCCTACTCTCCGCTATGCTGTGGGAAGCTGATGATGTGTGTTTTGGGATCTTGCTCCTATATTTTACAAAGCCTCCATTGTGTGTGACTGTGTACCTCTGCACCCACAGGATTAGCATAAATTCCACCTTGTTTTACGGAGAGTGGGTGGGAACAACTATGACATCATGGACTCAGATTAGGCTGCTCTTCTGAAAGCAGCTTCCTTCGTACCTGTCATTGCAATGTTCTGCTTTCCATAGCCCCAAGTGTCGGGGACTGACAGAAGCCAGGGGAAGGGCTCAGTCATGGAAAATGGATATTTTGCAACTTCCTTGCACATGCAGGATGTTGATAAGTGTTTAAAATGCATTGTCGCAAGGTTGACAGACTCTATTATCAAATGCACTACATTGAAAGATAAACCTTAGGCAAACCACTAAATACAAAGATTAAATACAGCCATGTGCAAAAATTAAGTACACCCCATGGAAACTTGACTTTTCAGCATATTGGAACAGGTAAACATTAGATCTTGTTTCAAACAGTGCCCACAGATACAGGTGATATACCTGAACAAATGATGCATAAAAATGGTGTATTATTTCTTATTATATAAATGTAAAAATAACCCAAATCCGTGTTTATTACTTAGTTTGAAAGTATAGAGTCTACAAATTATGCTATATACAGTATATTTGATCTATACTCGTGTACTGACAGCCTGATTTCTTGAGGTTCTAAAATGCCAGGACAGTGGAAATACTCCCCAATGTCCCCTTTTTGGAAAGTAGACAATCCAAGGTAATTAGCTAGAGGCATAGCAAGTTTTTTTTAAGTACTTTTTTGTCATAATTTTTTGGCAAAATGAAGAAATTGTAATAAAATTTGGGGTTTTTTCCACATTTTTTTTTCTCCATTACAATACAGCATCATCATATGACTGGTGTGGTGTTGATCAGGGATACTGACTGGTAACAGTATGTAAAAAAAGAAAAAAATTACAATAATATTTTTTAATGCAATTTTTTTTCCCTTTTTTTTTAAAAAAAAATATTTATTTATTTTTACATATTTTCATCAGAGTAGTTCAGTTTCACCATAGTGACACTAATACTCTTGGGGGGGGGGGGGGGGGTTTTCACTGCTATTGCTTATAACAGTGATGATCATTGTTATATGCAACAGTTTTAGTTGTCATGAATAGCTTTGATTCATGACCGCTTACTTAGCACTGTGATCTGTGATTGGCTACAGTGTAGCAGGTACCATGTGATAGCTGTGTGTCAATCACAGCATCACAACAGTAAGCAAAACAATCATGAATGAAAGAAGTAAATGTACTGTGGGTGGGCGGCAGGTGTTTAAAAAAGAAAGCACACCTCCAAATTTATCACCAGGTCAAATTCATTAAAGGAGAAGTATGGCTGAAGCTCTTTTGGCCATACTGCTCCTGTGAGTCACAGGAGTGCACTTCATTTTGCACTCCTATGACCCAGATTCAGCCGAAAGTGGGCTAAGGTCTGTTGTCGGTTGATGTCACAGAGCTGGACAATAAGTACATCATTATCATGGTCTGCCCGGCAGGTGGCTCAACCTCTCAGAGTGGCTATCCCCAGACTCTCATTTGTTCAGCTGGGGCAGAAGGGGGACTGTTTAAGTTCTCTCCCCACCTGCATCAACCTCCAAGATAAAGGATTTCACAGGCAAATCAAAATTTCTATTTAAAAATAGAATTTCCAAGCAAGAATTAGTCACAAATAACAGGTGGAGTTACAGGACCATCAACCGATAAAAAAGGTGTGAGACTTCAATTGGTATTGAATGTGGGTGTTTAGGTCCCTTTTAATGTAAATATCTTCTTGTTCTGATGTCTGTGATGGGATGAGTGTTGTCATGTATTGGCTGAGATGTGTGTCACTGTAATGGGCCAATAATGTGTCTTCTCTGGTTTCAGGTAGAAAGGGACTTTGAACGAGAATATGGCAAGCTTCAACAGTAAGTTGCTTCTTCATAACGGTCATTGGTCATCAATTCAAAAAGTTTTTGGAGAGGATAAAGATACTTATTCTCAAAAAAAGTGACAGTGCAACCAGATTTTAAAATTACAGTGACATGGCTGAAAATAGTGCCTTAGACTTGTGTTAAAATGGAACTAAACTCATTGATTTAACTGCTGCCCAAAATGGTTACATTCAAGGCATGCCATGAAGGATCACATCCACAATCAATTGTGCTGTCAACCGAATTGTCAAGCCATCAAATGGCTTGTGATGCGGGTTTCCCGCACCTCATTCTGGTGTGAATAGGCCCTAAAGCTTTGTGATTTGAGCCAAATGTCAGTTATCTCGTCTAATGGCTTGGCGCTGTGACAGAATTACGTCTGAAACGGTGCACAAGTGCATGCCGAGATCTATGCCATTATTGTCAATTGGGACTCTTCACATCTCATTGCGTTTTTATCCAGTGTTTTTATTGGCTGCTTTACATATTTGTGTTTTAAAATGCATGAGGTTTGGATGTTTTTTTCATTGTTTTTTCTTTACACTAATATTTATTATGCCTCTTTCAAGAAAAGAGGGTTTTCCTGTATTAGAATGTATGTAAAACAGATGGTTGATTTACTAAAACTAAATACCACCCAACACGCACTCTCCGCTCCTCACAAGACCTCCTTCTCTCTAGTTCCCTGATCTCCTCCTCTCATGCCCGCCTCCAGGACTTCTCCAGGGCATCACCCATCCTCTGGAGCTCCCTACCCCAATCCATCAGACTATCACCTACTCTCCTCTCCTTTAGGCGCACCCTGAAAACCCACCTCTTCAGGGAAGCCTACCCCACCCATTGCTAATTGCCGACCTCCTCCACTCTTCCTACCACTCCATCCCCCACAGCCATTTCCTCCTGTACCACTATCCCCTCCCTCCTGGATTGTAAGCTCGAAAGAGCAGGGCCCTTGAACTCCTCGTGTATCACATTGTACTGTTATCGTACTGTCGCATGTTCTGTCTCCCATTGTAATGTACAGCGCTGAGCGAACTGTTGGCGCTTTATAAATATTGTATAATAATAACTGGAGAGAGCAAATTCTGGCGCTGCTGTTCATGGTAGCCAATCAGCTTCTAAGGCTGGCCATACATTATACAATTATCTGCAGATTTTTGGTTTAGATTTACCAAAAACCATATAATAGGAGGCAAACCTAAACAACACTTTCAGTTGTATCCAATTAGGCAGGCCCTTGCACTACATAGTTGAAGGTAAATCTAAAGGAAATTGGGCAGAAAATCTGCAGATAATTGTATAATGTATGGCCAGCCTAACTTCAGTTTGTTCAATTACATTTTGACAAAAAACCTGGAAGCTAATTGGTTTCTATGAAGAGCTGCACCAGATTTTCCCCGTGGATGGATGTTTTATTTTTCTTGCAATTCCAGTAAACTAGATGTTGTGTATTTTTTTTTTGTTTAGTTTTTGTTTTTTTTTTCCGGCTATAGTACATAAAGCAAGTACATAAAGAAAACCAAATTGCACACAAAATTCAGACATAAATGGAAACCATTAGTAAACTGAAATGGATGCATTTAACACCCTCTCTTCCTAGAAAAAGGCACAAGGCCGTCTCCATATACTGTACATATAAAAAAATATGCATTTTCAAACATGAACATTTGAACCTTCTTTTGGCTTTGTTACTGGTTTGTTTCAGTTATACTGTGAAATGCATTACAGCCCCCCCAGATCTTTTCACCATGACATTATAACATGTTTATGATTGATTTTCCTTCTGTATCTCACAGGCTAGAAGACCAGACCAAAAAGCTACAAAAAGACATGAAGAAAAGCATAGAGGCAGATTTAGGTATCCGTATCTTTTCTGCTGCTTTTTGTTTAGCTCTCATCTACTTGTTACTTTATAGGCCTGGTCCTAACAGCTTCAATAGGAAAATGTAGCATGCCTTTCACATCATTTTGATACACTTCTGAGACCATTCAGAAGGGCATTTGACCGGCAATTAATCTCTTTCTGACCTTTTTGAATCCCCAGACTTATATGGGGTGTGAAGCAGTTCTGACGCATAGCCTGTTGACACAAACTAAAACACTCTCTAGCTCTCTTGCTTAGACTGCTGACCTCTTTCTGAAAATGCTAACCACTTGGCAGCATTGCTGATATTTTGATTTTAGTACTTTTTCAGTGTCTGACCTGGAGCAAGAATGCATTCAGTGAAGTCTGAATGAATTATTCAGTAACTGAGACATTCTTGATTCCATTAGATTAGCAGTCAAGCAAACAGCATTTTCAGACCAAGAGAATTGCAGTAGCAGCCTCCACATTTCTTTCACCACTTGTTTTCCTTGACCACTTGTTTTCCTTTAAAACTTTAGCTTTTTATTCAAGTGTATTTTCATATGAATGTGTTTCTTTCCCTACCAGCCATGTCTAAGTCGGCTGTCAGGATTTCCTCAGACCTGTTAGGGAACCCCTTGTGTGAACCAGATGCAGATTTTCTATCAATGGTGACCGCATTGGACACAGCAATGAAACGTATGGATGCATTCAATCAGGAAAAGGTACATTTAACATTATATGCGCATGTGTGTATAAAATATATATATATATATATATATATATATATATATATGCATGTATAATATGTGCATTACTTTTCAAATAATAATTCTTAACCCTGCATTATCCACCCAAGACCAATGTAACTTTAAAGTGTTACTAAACACAGGTCATTAAAAAACTGTCAGTAAAAGCTGTATTTCACGCTGTTCATACTCGGTCACTATGGGATTTGTTGTATATGTTCTGCAAAAAACACTGGTTGAGCCTGCTGTTCTGTCTTTCCCTTCTGTCCAAGTTCCCAATGCAGCTAGGTTTTTTTCAGAGCAGTGTTGTCAGCTCTGCACATGCTCTGTTTTCAGCGAGATTCTATGCTAAGCATTTCTTCCCTATCACATCTGAGTGGCCCATGTAACTAAAGAGTCACACATGTCGGTATATACATAGTGGTAAATGACAGCCCACTCCCTCCTTCCATCCTCCATGCCAACTAACCAGCTAAACACACTGAGGGTGGGATAATATATCCTAATTATAAACCAAGAATGTGTAGTGCGCTAACTCCTCATCCGGACAGATAAATTAAATAAAATAATCCTCCATGCAAAATAAATCCACACTACAATAAAAGTACTCCCAAATCACAGAATGTCCAAATTAGTGCATTTAACAATCACTTTCCAAAAGACCTGCTTGTGCTCAAGATACTCTCCCTGCTCACTTTTAAGTTTGACCTACAAATTATAATAGGTCAAATGTGTGTTTACAGAAGTGAATCCTTTCATGTGATGACGAATCCAGAATTTCTTCACTCAATCACGACTCCAAAAATATGTATATAAAAAACAACAATATACATATCGTAGTGCAACACTGTTTAAATTAAAGCTAATGGTTGAGTGCACAAATCATATGCGCTCATGTTACAGCAAAACACACCGTGCTCTGCAACAGTGTTGTAAAGTGTTCACTTCATCCAACATATAAAAAATGATATACCAATGAGTGTGCCATGCACTCACCTTCTTCCTTAACCTCCCTCTCTAAGACACAGGCTGCAGGGCTGTGACTGGCAGAAATACGCCCACACCATGTTATTGCTAAAAAATAATCAAGATTTGATTTCAAATATATATTTGTATGGCAATTTAAAACAGTTTATTGATATTTTTTTCCAGAAGACTTTTTTCTTTCTTTTTTTTTTTTCTTTGAATATGTGACCAGCAGCAGAGGACTAGAGGTTCCTCCTGCTTCTGTTTCCCTGCAGACAGGCTGGGAAAGCGCTGAGTCATGTGACAGCTGTTTTATTGATTAGGAAAAAGGTACTTAGATTTTTTTTTTTTTTAATTAAAATAATTACAGTGTCAGGGGAAGGGTCCTGAACATGGCGCAGGGAGACTGCTAAGTGCAGGAGCTCCCGACACCCGCCATGGAGAAGCTGCCTGGGGCTTGATCTACATTACACCACCTTGGAAGCTGTGGGTTCCCGGGCCAGTGCCGTGTCCTCCTGGTCCTGGTTACGTGGAGGCCGGTGGATGTGGTGAACCCTGGCAGGGGGATTGAACAGCAGCGGTGAGCTACTGGGATCCCGGAGCCTTTGGAGGGACCGGTGTCGGCTGACGGGGGAATTCTTCGGAGCACAGGAGGCGCTGGGAGAGGAGGAGCTGCTTGAGCGGAGAAGGACCCCAGCGGGAGAGGTCTGTGCAGGGATGCACTAGACTGGCTGTATAGACAGGGCAATATATAGGCCAAGGGGATTTTAGTAACTTGGGTAAGGGTTGGGGCGGGCGGAGAGGGAAGGGGAGTGGTGGGATGGTGGAAGGTCCATGAGATGGGTAGTCTATACCACCTTTCCTTTGAACAAGAAAGAGAAGAGAAACACTAGACAGCTATGAGCCTGATTAATAGAATGACATATAATGTGAAAGGTTTAAATTCCCCTACCAAAAGACATAAGATACTTAGGGAAGTTCACCAAATCTCCTCAGATGTTGTGTTCTTACAAGAGACACATTTATCATATGATACTAATGTCAAATTACACTCAAGGTACTATCCAATGTGGTATTACGCGGACTCACCAATAAAGAGAGTGAAAGGAGTAGCGATCAGGTTCTCAAAATACATGGGTTTTGATGTGGAGGAAAGATTGGTGGACCCAGAGGGCCGGTTTCTATGCTTAAGAGGGAAAATGCGGGGACAAAGCTATAACTTGGTTAATATCTACTGCCCGAATCAAAATCCAGAAGTATTTCTATACAGAGTGTTGGGGAAAATTAGGCAACTTAAGAGTCTTGGCTGGAGATTTAAATTTTTGTCTTGATCCATGGATGGATATATCTTTGAATGCACAGAGAGGAGGTAAAAAAATTAAGAATTTTGAAAAAGAGGTTGTATCAAAGTCAGCTAATGGAGGGTGAAACATCCATGAAAGAGACTATACTTTCTTCTCCCTGGTACATAGATCGTATTCACGGTTGGATTATATAATGATCGAGCATAGACAATTGGATTCATTGGTTAAATCCAATATAGAAGTTATGTCTATATAAGATCATGCTCCTGTCATGGCGAGATTAAAGGTAGGAGGAGAAGGGAATAAAAGGGCAATGTGGAGATTAAATGAGACGCTCATACAGGTGCTGAAATAGAGTGGAGGCTAAGGGAGGTAATAGAGCAATTTTTTCTGTTAAATTAAACTGAGGAAGTCTCTGCAGCTACCATCTGGGAAGCACATAAGGCATATGTGAGGGCAATCCTGATAGCCGCAGGAACTTAAAAAAAGGAAGATCGTGAGAGAAAAATAAAGGAGGTGACGGAGGAGCTATAGATTAGAACAGGTACATAAAAAGAGACAGGATACAGAGGTTTATTCGAAGATTATACTTAAAAGAGAAGAGTTAAAAGGCCTATTGGAGCAGGAATCAAGGAAGATTTTCAATAGGGTTTCAAAGTGGGGGAATAAACCAGGAAAATATTTGATGAAAGGACTCAAGGAGAAGAAATCGAAAACTATATTGAACTAAAAAAAAATAAAAGAGGAGAACTGGTTTACACCACCACTGATACTGCTGAAACGTTCCAAAAATTTTATAGCAGGCTGTTTGATGTAAAATCCAAGAACTTGAAAGCTACAGAGGAAAAAAAGAGAGGGAAATGGCAGGAATTTCTAATGGCAGCAGACCTTCCACAAAAATCAGAAGAAAAATTTGTATCTTTAGAACAAGCGATCTCCCAGGAGGAAAGAAGGCCCTAAAGAATACAGCAGGAAGGAAGAGCCCAGGACCCAATGGGTATACGGTGGGGAATTTTAAGAATTTGGAGACTTATTGGTCCCTAAACTTTGTACATATATGAATGTCTTAGGAGAGGGAATGGGAATAAGAGCAGAATCCTTGCAAGCATATATAACGATCATTCTAAAGGAAGGAAAGGATAGCTCACAGTGTGCTAGCTATAGACCTATATCACTATTAAATATAGATACAAAACTGTTTGCGAAGGTGCTAGCTACGAGGTTGAAATTGCTGATGCCGGAATGGATACATTTGGATCAAGTGGGTTTCATCCCGGGAAGGGAAGGGAGGGATAATGGTTTGAGAACACTACTTCTTTTACAGAAGGCAAAGAGAGAAAAGTTACCTACAATTTTATTGTTGATCGACGCTGAGAAAGCTTTTGACAAGGTAGATTGGGGTTTATGATCAACACCCTAGAGGCCTTGGGAATAGGGACTAAGATGATGAGTTGGATAAAGGAGCTCTATAACAGTCCGTCAGTGGCAAATAAGGTAATTGGGTCCCTCTCTAGGTTTTTAAAGATGTACAGTGGTACAAGACAGGGATGACCCTTATCCACGTTATTATTTGTTAAATCCCGGAAACTTTGCTGGCGATGGTAAGAAAGAGTGTAGATATTAGAGGAATTAAGATAGGTGAGATAGAGCATAAGGTAGCAGCATATGCTGATGATATGCTGTTTTATATTGTGAACCCTAGGTTAACATTACCTAACCTAATGGGATTGCTAAAAGGGTACGGAGAGCTTTTAAACTTGAAAATAAACACCTTAAAATGAGAGATCTTGAATATTATTGTTTCAAAAAATGTGACACAGACTTTAAAAAAAAAAACCTTCCCATTTTTATGGAGAGAGAAAGAACTAAGTTACCTAGGTGTAAAGTTAACCCCTTCTATAAAAAATTTATACCGGGTAAACTATATTCCATTAATAAATGAAATAAAGGATGAATTGAGAAGACTCTCAAGAGGAAGGGTCTCTTGGATCGGGCATATAAACTTGGTTAAGATGGTGATAGTTCCAAAAATCTTATATAAATTCCCAGTCCATATCCCAGGATTTTTTTTAGATGATAAAAACGAATACTTAAGTATTTATGGGCTAATAAGAAACCGAGTGTTCGGTATGAAGTGCTGTGCAGTAAGAAAGAGAAAGGAGGATTAAACTTGCCCAATATTAAGAATTCTTATACTGCAGTAATACTGTCAGGAAGTGTAGATTGGACATATAATTCACAGGGGAAGAGCTGGGTTAAAATAGAAAGTATATTAAGTAATATACAATTAGAGACAATTATTTGGATACCACGAAAGTTCTGTACTATGGATGAGACTATAGTACATTGACACAGGAGGTATTAAAAGTATGGAATAGAATGCACAAGCAAATGGATTGGAAGCACAATTCACTGTTGATTCCCCTGGTGGGTACTGAGTTTTTCCCGCTGGGGAATGATAATGTTTTGAGGAAATGGTTTAAAGATGTAGATGCAAATTTGGGGGATATAGTTGTTAAGGGGAAGTTAGGCACTTTTCAGGATTTAAAGAGTAAAAAAGAGATATTTGTAAAAAAAGAGATATTTATTATATTAATTGGATGAATTAAGATATTATCAATTAAGCCACTGAGGATGACGGAGGACATGCTCCCGTTTGAAAGGATGTTGGGTGCCAGTATGGCTTCAAAATATGTTACTTCGGGGATTTATTAGCTTCTTGTTGAACTGGGGGGTGGGTCCTCTGCTGTTCTTCGTGAAATGGGAATGGGAACTGGGAACAAAAATGAATGAATCACAGAAAAATAAAATGTTTAAATTAAAACATGGGGTGATAAATGTGAACACCGTTATGTTGAAGGGGATGCGGAGCTAAGGGAACAATGGCACATATATGGTGGGATTGTCAAAAAATACAGGTGTTCTGGCAATATGTAATCCATATTATACAAGAGATATTGGGGATAACTATACAGAAGGATCCGTGGGTGTGCTAATTTTATAGGACAGAAGTACCAGTGAAGCAGTATAAAAATAGTGTATTGTACCATCCAATTAGTGCAGCTTAAGGGCTTATTCCTAAATTTTGGCAGGTACAGGAGCCTCCAACAATGAGGGACTGGTTAAACAGTGTGGAATATATAAATAGGATGGAAGAGCTATACCATATAGACGAAGGTACTATGGGTAAATTTAGAAAGGAATGGGGGAGATGGTCTGACTTCAAGGTATCCATAAAATATACAGAAGTAGTGGGAGGCCTAGGAATCTGATTTGAGGTAAGGGAATAGAGGGAATGTTTTGTAAGGCTGTAATAGGAATAATAAAAGGGAAAAGAAAGGTTAGAGGGAAAGAAAGAATAACAAGAAAAAGGAAGAGTCGGAAATGAGGATTGAGGAGAAAGATTACAGGTATGGACTGGATTGTTTGAAAGTGAAGGGAAGAGTTATATGGACTGGGGTAGGTTGTACGGGGCCTCAGGTGAGTAGGGGGGTATTGGGGAGGTCGGAATGGGAAATTCAGGGGAAATGTTTGTATTTCGGATGAAAAATGATATTTTGCTGTGTTTTTGTAATGAAAACATTTTTAAAAGATTTAATAATAATAAAAAAAAATGATTACAGTGTCAAAATCCACATACAGAAATAGAAGAGGCAATGTAAATTTAAACAGCGTGTATTTAGTGTCACTCTAACACTCAGATTTTCATTTGTCTATTGTCTTGGTACAGGTTAACCAAATTCAGAAGACTCTGATGGATCCTTTGAAAAGGTTAGAAATAACCCTTACAAACTCCATATTGCCACTTTGGAATGACCACAATGCAGCTGGCATATAACGTGTTTGTTTTTCAATGCATGAGTTAGCAATGTGTTTAAATAATTTCATATTTGATTTGCTCATTCAGAAGGCTTAAAGTGTACTCCTAGTTTTTTTAATAAGATAAATTCATTCACCTCTAGATCATCTATATACATTACAAGAGTTTTAGCAACATTTATTGCAGGTTCCTTAAAAAAAAAAAAGAAGCTGCTTGTTTCACCATATCTTCTCCAGACCGATTCCTGAATGGGAGATTTGCACTCATTTAGGGGGACTTAGCAAAGACTGGAACATCCTGCATGTCTGTACCACTTTTCTAAGCTGAAAAAATATAGCAGGTGCTGCTTCTAATTAACAAAAGGGGCGCGAGGAGGAGTGATATGCTTTGTGTTCTATGCTGTGTCTGTGACAGACAGGGCACAGAGAGCAGTTCACCTGGAGCTGCATACTCCAATTCCTCTGCACCCTTCCCCGCTCAGCTGAGTGCAGGAGGGAAGAGGAGAGTTATAAACCCTGCAGGCTGGGCAGATAGCCATGTGAGCTGTCTGCTGACAGTTCAAATCTTGTATGCCAGGTCCAGTCTTGCAGTGATCTGTAGCAGTTTTCTCTACTGAAAACTATTGCATTCCCTTTGTTAATTGGGAGCAGATCCTGTGCCAGTTTTTATTTCACTCTGAAATAGAAACTGGCATGGGCAGCACAGATGGGATTTGCAGTATTAAGGTGTTTTTGGGCTGCTGTGGGTGACCGTATGTTTCTGCACTTGACTTCAGTGGGTGACACTTAAAGGCTAAGCGCACTTTAACTTGCATCTTAGTGCAGACTTCTGAGAAAATTAGTAAGTTACACACACAAACAGGAAATCACATTTTTAGGGGCATTGTAAGGAACGCATCTAAGCTGCCATATTGGCATGAAGTGACTGTTTCATAAAATTTCAGCAAATTGAAATAAATATTTAAATTGTCCCACCGCCCACAACCCCCCCATCTAACCCTGACAGTGTGCCTGGCCATGTCCTATCCCTGCACTGTACACACACCTCACATTGCAATTTGACTATCTGCCCAACCTTTTCTGCTCATTAGCTATCCTTAGGCTCCGTTCACACTTTGTGATTTTGAATTGCGAGCAGAATCGCTGTGATTCTGTCCAAGATTCCAAATCACTCTGCAATCATGTCATTCATACTTAATGGCAACTCGAATGTAGTGCATTTTTTTTATTTTTTTTTGGCGCCTGACAGAGTCATGTGGTAGTCACGACAAAATGCATTGCGCAAAGCTTCTTGCACGATTTTGTAGTACAACAATCGAGGCAAAATTGCACCGTGTTTGAGGTTCCATTAAGAATGAATGGCGCTCAAACATGCGAGGTGCGTTTTGTCACAATTGCAGTGTAATTCTGCTCGCAATTCAAAATTACGAAGTGTGAATGGGGCCTAAAGATAGCTTGGAAATTGGAATCGCGAGCAGAATCGTGGGGTCCCTGTCTGCTATTCAAAATCGTGACGTGTGTATGGGGCCTTATCATTGATGTTTTTTTATTTTATCTGCGGCCCAAAACAATTCCTTTTCTTCCGATGTGACCCAGGAGAGTCAAAAGGTTGGACACCCCATCATTACAGGGTCTGCTGCCCTACCTGGTATATGTCACACACATATACTAAAATGTCTTCTCTTATAGTTTTAAAACTCAAGGAGCAGATTTCATAACAATACTCTATATAGAGCATACACATTTAGAAGCAGATATTTACCATATTTTTCGCTCCATAAGACGCACCTGACCATAAGACGTGCCTAGGTTTAAGAGGAGAAAAACAAGAAAAAAAATATTCTGAACCAATGAACTGCAGACATAGTACAGGAAATGACCAGAGATTGCGGACATGGTACAGGAGATGACCAGAGACTGCGGACATACTACTGGAGATGACCAGAGACTGCGGACACAGTACAGGAGATGACCAGAGACTGCGGACACAGTACAGGAGATGACCAGAGACTGCGGACACAGTACAGGAGATGATCAGAGACTGCGGACACAGTACAGGGGATGACCAGAGCCTGCGGACGTAGTACAGGGGATGACCAGAGCCTGCGGACGTAGTACAGGGGATGACCAGAGCCTGCGGACGTAGTAGTAGGAGATGACCAGAGCCTGCGGACGTAGTACAGGGGATGACCAGAGCCTGCGGACGTAATACAGAGGATGACCAAGAGACTGCAGACAGTACAGGGAATGACCAAGAGACTGCAGACAGTACAGGGAATGACCAAGAGAATGCGGACCTTTAGGGAGGGAGAGGGAGCGGGTACCTGAATTTGACAGGTACCCACTCCCACTTCCGCGGAGTTGTCCTCCCTTTACTGTGGGCACCTGGCTGTGACAGCCGAGTGCCCACTGTGCATGCACGAGATGCGCTGCACTTTGTGAATGGCCCGGCGTCTTCTGGGACCTGTCATGTGTCCCAGAAGATGCCGGACCATTCACAAAGCGCAGCGCTTCTTGCGCATATGCAGTGGGCACCCAGCTGTCACAGATCCTGGCGCGGGAAGACGGCGCAGCGTTGGACTGAAGAACAGGTAAGGTCCTGCATCAGAGAACAGCTGAACGGCCGGCCCGGTATTCTGAAATGGTGGCGGCGGAAACACCAGACCGACTGCTTTATATTCGCTCCATAAGACGCACTGACATTTTCCCCCCTTTTTTTGGGGGAAAAAAGTGCATCTTATGGAGCGAAAAATACGGTATATAGTGTAGGTTATACATATTTATAGTACCAGGCTCTGTAATGTTCTGTTATACACAGGTACCAGGCTCTGTAATGAGATAGTTGTATATGGTATATGTAGTATACACTGGTATATCAGCAGATATATTTATATACTGTATTTCACACATATTTATAGCACCAGGCTGTGGAATGGTTCACGTAATATACACAGGTATTGTAGCAGGCTTTGTAATAAGATAGACGTATACTGTATGGTAAATGTAGTACACACTGGTATAGCAACAGTCTGTGTAATTGTGTTTGTGTCAAACAGGTATAGCAGTGTCTTCCCCTCGCTGAACATGGCTGTGAAACGTAGGGAGCAGGCTCTGCAGGAATACAAAAGACTCCAGACCAAGGTGGAGAAATATGAGGAGAAGGAGAGGACCGGGGCTGTGATTGCGAAGTTGCACCAGGTCAGTGTATGGTTAATAGTAACCAAGTTGTGCAGTTTTTGTTTATCTCTTTGTATGGGGATATAAAGAGGGACTGGAGTTTGACATTTTTTAGAGCTAAAAGTAATTCTGATTATTTATAGAGGTGTATAAGGTGCAGCACCTTCCAGACCTCTTACTATATCAAAACGTATTAATATTCTTTTCCTACTGTGCCTATTTCTGACATTTCCGCTGCTATTTCAAGAAACCACTTCCTTTCAGTTTGGTGAAGTGTCTTGTACAGTATCAGCATGCTTGTCATGGGTTGAATATGCAACGTCATCAGCTCTGGCCGTGCCCCTCTAGTCCATTATGTATGATGCAATGTCAGGTTATGTAGTGGCTAGCCCGAGGCCCTTCTGTGGCTTGTATATCCGCATTACTGCCACTGAACCAACAGCAGGGATTGCCATTTACAGTATAATATGGAGACCTGCCTGATCTTTCCTCCCTTTATTATTCCTGTCTCCTCCACCCACTTCTCTCTCATTGCCAGCGGTGACAGAATATTCATGAGGGCTTCCACTTTTCCCTTTCTTATGTATAATACATACCAATACATCATCCTTTCCTTTCCACTGTAGAATAGTCACATGTACAGTATGTATTTACAATGTGCATTCTCCGCAGTGCTGCAGATAAATATTACATACATGGACAGAAAGTGTTGAGGGTTATGAAGCAATGTCTGAGTCCAATAAGTTGATTTTCCGCCTGAGGAAAAATGCATTTTTTACTAATCAATTTCTCATTAAAATGTATGTCCAACCAAAACTTTTCATTTTTAGTTTACATGAGGGAAGATTTTTAGGGCTCCAGGTACATGTGTGCAAAATGCACTGCATTAAGATCCATAATGTGTACTGTTTTTTTTTTTTTTGTTTTTTTCCCCCAGAACTAAATGCAGCTGCATGAAGCCATACACACAGCTCCACACACGTTTGTGACCTGAAGCTGAATTCGGGTGTTTAAAAAAAAATTATATAGATCATATTTAACGCTGTATGTTATGCTAATGTTTACATGTGATTGGAATTTAGCATATACAGTTACGTCCATGTATATTTGGACACAGGCATAATTTTCATACTTTTGGCTCTGTATGCCACCAAAATAAATTAAAACTAATAATCCAGATGATTGTGAAGTACAGACTTTCAGCTTTAATTCAAGGGGTTGAACATGAATATCAAGTACAAATTTTAGGAACTGCAACCATTTTTATACACCGTCCCTCCATTTTCAGGGGCTCAAATGTAATTGGACAAATGAATATAAATAAAATGTTAATTTTTTAATATTTTGTTGAGAATCCTTACTGGCAATGACTGCCTGAAGTCTGGAACACATGGACATTACCAAAGACTGGGTTTCCTCCTTTCTGATGCTTTGCCAGGCTCTAACCACAGCTGTCTTCAGTTCTTTGTGGGTCTTTCTGCATTTAGTTTTGCCTTCAGCAAGTGAAATGCATGCTCAATTGGGTTGAGATCAGGTGGTTGACTCGTCCATTGCAGAATGTTCCACTTGTTTTCCTTCAAAAGTTCCTGGGTTGCTTTTGCAGTGTGTTTTGGATCATTGTCCATCTGTACTGTGAAGCGCTGTCCAATCACCTTTTCTGCATTTGGCTGAATCCGTCCAAAGAATGCTTTTCCAGAACTGGTCTGGCTTTTTTAGATTTTTTTTTGGCAAAATTTAATCTGGCTTTTCTATTCTTCAGGCTTATGAATGGTTTACACCTTGTGGTAAAGCCTCTGTATTTGCTCTTTTGAAGTCTTCTCTTGATTGTAAACTTTGACAATGATATGCCCACCTCCTGGAGAGTGTCCTTCACTTGTCTGGATGTTGTGAATGGGTTTTTCTTTACCATAGAGAGGATCCTGCGATCATCCACCACTGTTGTCTTCTGTGGACATCCATGCCTTTTTATGTTGCTGAGCTCACCAGTGCGTTCTTCTTTCATCAGAATGTACCAAGCTGTTGATGTGGCCACTTCTAATGCTTCTGCTATCTCTATGGATTTGTTTAGTTTTTGAAGCCTTACAATGGCCTGTTTCACTTGCACGGACAGCTCCTTTGAACACATGATGTAGGTTCACAGCAATAGATTCCAAATGCAAATACCTCACTCAGAATCAACTCCAGACCTTTGATCTGCTTAATTGATGAAGAAATAATGGAGTAGCCCACACCTGGCTATGAAACAGCTTTTGATTAAATTGTCCAATTACGTTTTGATTGGACGGCGCTTCACAGTACAGATGGACAATGATCCAAAACACACTGCAAAAGCAACCCAGGAGCTTTTGAAGGAAAATAAGTGGAATATTCTGCAATGGCTGAGTCAATCACCTGATCTCAACCCAGTTAAGCATGCATTTCACTTTCTGAAGGCAAACTAAAGGCAGAAAGACCCACACACAAAGAACAACTGACAACAGCTGCAGTTAAAGCCTGGCAAAGCATCAGAAAGGAGGAAACCCAGTCTTTGGTAATGTACATGGGTTCCAGACTTCAGGCAGTCATTGCCAATAAAGGATTCTCAATAAAATATTAAAAATGAACATTTTATTTATGGCTATATTCATTTGTCCAGTTACTTTTGGTACCTTGAAAAAAAAAAGGGGGGATGGCTACTCATAAGAGCTGTAAAAACACGCACACGCACACGCACACGCACACTCACACTCACTCTCTCTCTCTCTCTTTGAGAATCATGTGTTTCAATGCATTTCTATGAAGATAAAAATGCACCAATCTGCCAAAATTGAGCTACAAAGGTTGCTCCAAAACTTTTTTTGTGCTTCAGCCATTTGGCTTTAGGCAACTTGGAGTGGAGATGTAGAATAATTGATTTTTTTTTTCTCCCTGCTCCTTTTGGAGCTTTAAGATTCACACTACAAAACACTCACTTGTGAATGGGGTCTTAAAGCTAAACTCCAGTTATGATCTTTATTGCATACTTACAGCTTATCACACTCTTAGTATGCATATTTCATACCCGAGGGACTGCAGGAGAAGCTGACAATCACTGTAGTAGTTGGCGCGACTACATTGATCGCCTCAGTTTTCCAGATCCTGTGTCGAGCATCTGCTGTACTGCACACTGACCACAGCAGGTCGCTCGCTTGGCCCTGCCACCATTCACAGTACACTTGTCTTGTTTCTTAAATGATTACAAGTCATTCTCTGATTTGGTTAGGAGGTGGAGTCCAGTCAGAGGATGCTTTGTATTCATTGGAAAAAATGACAGGGCATTCTAAAAGTGGTGGCAGTGCCAAACAAGCAACCGCCATGACGGTGTGCAGTGGGGCAGCCACTCGCTATAGGATCTGGAAGATCGCCAAATACTGCAGTGTTTGTCAGCTTTCCACAGCAGTCCCTAAGGTAAGAGAAATGCATACATACATACATTGTGCCAAGCTGGACCAATGTAAGTAGCAATTAAGATCATACCTGCAATTCAGCTTTAGCTGCAAACCTTATGTCCAATATTGGCTGACCTATCTTTCTCCAGCAAAAATGACATTTATAGTTTTGGATGGAGGTCCTACTTTTGCTTTTAAGAAAAGCACAGTATTTTTGTACAAAAAATGTACATGTAAATGCGTGACCTCCCACAATCTCAAATGGAAATGCCATATTAATTCTTTGCTTAAAATGGAAAAATATACACTATATTGCCAAAAGTATTCAGATGCCTGCCTTTACATGCATGTGAACTTTAATGGCATCCCAGTCTTGGTCCGTATGGTTCAATATTGAGTTGGCCCACCCTTTGCAGCTTTAACAGCTTCAACTCTGCTGGGAAGGATGTCCACAAGGTTTAGGAGTGTGTCTATGGCAGCAATGGGCAAACTACGGCCCAACTACGACCTTTTAATCCGGCCCGCGGAGCTAGGCTCCCGCTAGGCTCCTCTCACAGTCCGCCCTGAAGACCAGTGTAGCATGAAAATCTGTCTCCTATGAGGATCTGTCCCCCTCGACGTATCTGCGCATGTGCCGGAGATCGCCGATCGGCTGCTAATGCCTGAAACTGGCACATGCGCAGATAAGTTGAGGGGGACAGATCCTCATAGGAGACAGATTTTCATGCTACACCGGAACGGCGCGGGAACACGGCGAGAGGAACGCGCTGAGCAAAGGTAAGTGAATTGACACGGGGGACTTGGGGACTTAATATGGGGGATGAATTAATATGGGGAATGAATTACTATAGGGGGGATGAATTACTATATGGGGGATGAATTACTATATGGGGGATGAATTACTATATGGGGGATGAATTACTATGGGGGATGAATTACTATGGGGGGATGAATTACTATATGGGGGATGAATTACTATGGGGGGATGAATTACTATATGGGGGATTAATTACTATATGGGGGATGAATTACTATATGGGGGATGAATTACTATAGGGGGGATGAATTACTGTGGGGGATTAATTACTATATGGGGGATGAATTACTATATGGGGGATGAATTACTATATGGGGGATGAATTACTATATGGGGGATGTAATTACTATATGGGGGATGAATTACTATATGGGGGGATGAATTACTATATGGGGGATGAATTACTATATGGGGGATGAATTACTATGGGGGATGAATTACTATATGGGGGATTAATTACTATGCTTACTATGGGGGAATATTACTATACTTACTATGGATGACACATACACATCATTCATCTACTCTTGGTCCGGCCCCCGGGTCCAATATATGAACCCATTGCGGCCCTCAAGTCAAAAAGTTTGCCCACCCCTGGTCTATGGGAATGCTTGACCATTCTTCCAGAAGAGCATTTGTGAGGTCAGGCCCTGATGGCAGACGAGAAGGTCTGACTTGCAGTCTCCTTTCTCATTCATCCCAAAGGTGTTCTGTCGGATTGTGGTCAGGACTGTGCAGGCCAGTCAAGTTCCTCCACCCCAAATTCACTCATCCATGTCTTTATGGACCTTGCTTTGTGCACTGGTGCACAGTCATGTTGCCATAGGAAGGGGCCATCCCCAAACTGTTCCCATGAAATTGTCCAAAATGTGTTGGTATGCTGACACCTTAAGAGTTCCCTTCACTGGAACTAAGGGTCCAAGCGCAACCCCTGAAAAACAACCCCACACCATAATCCTCCCCTCCGCCAAACTTTACACTTGGCACAGTGCAGTCAGGCAAGTACTGTTCTCCTGCTGTAGAGTCCAGTGCTTTACACCACTGCATCCAATGCTTTGCATTGCACTTGGTGATGTAAGGCTTGGATGCAGCTGCTCAGCCATGGAAACCCATTCCATGAAGCTCTCTACACACTGTTGTTGTGCTAATCTGAAGGCCACACGAATTTGGAGGTTTTAGCTATTGACTCTACAGACAGTTGGTGACTTCTGCGCACATGCGCTGACCCCGCTCATTTTACGTGGCATAACACTTCGTGGCTGAGTTGCTGTTGTTCCCAGTTGCTTCCACTTTGTTATAATACCACTAACAGTTGACCGTGGAATATTTAGTAACAAGGAAATTTCACGGATGGACTTATTGCACAGGTGGCAACCTATCACAGTACCACGCTTGAATGCACTGAGCTCCTGAGAGCGACCCATTCCATCACAAATATTTGTAGAAGCAGTCTGCATGCCCAGGTGCTTGATTTGATACACCTATGGCCATGAAGGTGATTGGAACACCTGAATCCAATGATTTGGAGGTGTGTCCAAATACTTTGGCAATATAATGTGTATATACATCCACCAGAGTGTACCTGAGAAAATTTGACAAAATAGGGGGGCAGTGGTTTGATTTCCCAAGTATAGATACCTTAGCCCTTATAAGATCATAGTTAGGTTAGAGACTGGATCTCTGAAGGTTATCATTGGAATTAATCATGATTATGACATGATCTATGTTTTGTACAATGTATCCAGTATTTCTGCTTGATTGTATACTGGATAAATAATTGCCTGGAACACCAGAGCAATTCTTCTAAGTGTAATGGCTGTAATGTGTGATGCAAAATCTTTATTCTTTAATAAAGGTTGATTAAATAAAATTGTAAATGAGTATTTGGGCTGTTGCTAATATGTTGGGAAGTGGTACTTTAAGTATTGTGTTTTCCAGAATTTCAAGTGATTGGCGATAGCTTGGTGTCATGATCCTGGCAATGTCTTATTGTTTAAAAGGTCAGGCAATCACCTGTTCTTTTTGCATACTAAATGCTGCCATCTAGTGTTGTATTAGTGAAATGCACCTGATCACCAGGCAAACCGTATACGATTTTAATGAAATCTTCTCCACTTCAGGCCAGAGAAGAATTGCGTCCAATTCGGGAGGACTTTGAAATAAAGAGCCGCCAGCTATTGGATGAAATGCCAAAGTTTTACAATAGTCGCATAGATTTCTTCAAACCCAGCTTTCAGTCGCTAATCCGAGCCCAGGTATATAGTGTCCTGCACATCAGGCCTTTATTTTTGTAGTTAATAGTATACTGAAAAGTGGGAAAACAATAATGTCTGTATGTGTTTATTTTTTTCTATGTGAACTTGGCATGCTTGAGAAGAGTGGTGTTCACCCGAGCATCCTATGCCAGTTAAACCCTGCCCATTTTGTACATAAATATTACTATGACACCTCTGGGAGGTGTGAGAAATAGTGTAGAGTCACTCACAATGATATACAGACACCAAAAAATGGCTGTGCCTGTAATGTAAACCAACCAAGACTCTTTCCTTTTCCCCTATCCCTAAATACAACCCCAAATCCAAAAAAAAACATTAGGATGCTGTGTAATAAAAACAAAATGCAATAATCTGCAAATCTCATAAACCCATATTTTCACAATAGAGAATAGAGAAAACCTATACCATTTTAAGAAAACAATACGGTAATTTTAAAATTGATGGTAGCAACAGGACAAGGAGAAGCTGGCAAAGTAAGGAAGAGCTGAAAGAATATTTTACAACGAATTAGATTATTTGGCAACAGGTCAGTAACATCATTGGGTATGAAAAGAGCATCTTAGAGAGTCAGAGTGTCTTAGAAGTAAAGATGGACCGAGATTCAGCAGTCTGTGAAAAGCTGCATCTAAACATTGTCACACAATTTCAGAATAATGTTCTTCAATGTAAAATTGCAAAGACTTTGAATATATCATCATCTACAGTACATAATATCAAAAGTTTCTGAGAATCTAGAGAAATCTCTGCATAAGGGACAAGGCCAAAATGCAATATTGGATGCCGTGATCTTCAGGCCGTCAGACGGCACTGCATTAAAAATCAGGCTTGATTCTGTGATGGATATTACTGCATGGGCTCAGGAATACTTCCAGAAATTGCTGCCTATGAACACAGTTCGCTGTGCCATTGAAAAATGCAAGGTAAAGATCTGTCATGCAAAGAAGAAGCCATATCTGAACATGATCAATGTCTTCTCTGGGCCAATATGCTTTTATAATGGTCTTTTGCAAAGTGGAAAAGTGTTCTGTAGTTAGACAAGTTGAAATTTGACTTTATTTTTTTTTATAAATCATGGGTGCCACGTCCTCAAGACTACAGAGGAGAGGGACCTTTCTGCTTGTTTTTGGCGCTTAGTTCAAAAGCCTACATCTTTGATTGTATGGGGGGCATTTGTGCGTATGAAATGGGCAGCTTGCACATCTGGAAAGGCACCATCAATGCTGAAAAATATATATCTAGGTTTTAGAGCAGCAGCATGTGCTCCCATCCAGATGATGTCTTTTTCATGGAAGGTCTTGCATATTGCAGCAGGACAATGTTAAACTGCATCTATGACAACCAGCATGGCTTCATAGTAGAGTCCAGGTGCTTAACTGGCCTGCCTGTAGTTTAGCCCTTTCACAAGTTGAAAAAATTTGGCACATCTTGAAACTAAAAATACGACAGAGAAGACCCAGAACTATTAAGCAGTTAGAATCCTATATCTGGTAAGAATGGGAAAACATTCCTCTCCCAAAACTCCAGTAATTGGTCTCCTCAGTCTCAGTGTTTAAAGAAGAGGGGATGCTACACCATGGTAAACATGGCCCTGTCCCAACTTTTTTGAGACGTGTTGCGGTTATCAATTTCAAAATTACCTTATTTTTTTCTTAAAATATTAAATTTTCTCTGTTTTAAACATTTGATATGTTTCTATTGTGAATAAAATATGGGTGTATGAGATTTGCAGATCATTGCATTCTGTTTCCATGCAGATTTTACACAGCATGTAAAAACTTTTTTAGAATTGGGGTGGTAGGTATTTGCTTTCTGGGCTGTAGGTATTTGGCCTCCTCCAATGCTTAAAGTGGAACTTAAACTAAAAATTGGTCTCTTCTACATTAAAATTGCTTACCTGCCTGTCCGCTCCTGTACTGTGAACCGTACATGTGCAGCTAACTACAAATTCAGCAATGCCAGATCTGATGGATCTCCCGCGCATGCACGGGAGTGACATCATCCCTGCCAAGCCAATGGCAGTGGCCGGCGATTGAGTGACCGAGTGGGTAGCATTGGGATGCTGCATCACTGGAACTGAGGTGAGTATAGTTCCACTTTAACCTCCTCCACCCCAAATGTGTCCCTCGTACTAGCTGTGTCTGTGCAGTGAGCTCCCAAAGACTTGAATAGGGTTATACTACTAAAGAGGTGAACGTTTGCCAAATGGTCATTGGTGGTGAATCAATCACACTCATTCAAAACAAATACACCTGAATGATTTATGTACAGTGAGTGCTTGATGAATGTCAGGTTCACTGCTTTTGAAATATGCCTCTTATGTGTCTGTAGTGTACTCAAGAGGGGTGGTGTATCTAGGTTAGATTTGGTTAATGGGCTAGAGAAGGTGGCCTGTTTTATTTATATAAAATTAAACTTGTCCTTTTTAACATGATACCCCCCAACGTACACTGTAGTCTTCAGCAATGACAGAACCAAGTATGGTGGCTGCCTGTCTTTGTTTCCTTATACATAGCATCTGATTTACTACCAAATTACAGGTGTGTTTCAAGCAACAATTGTTATTTTTGTCTTTTTTTCCACGTCCTATGCAGGTGTCACAGTGAATCACTGTGTTCTTACTCTTTTCTAGGTGGTGTATTACACAGAGATGTCAAGAGTGTTGGGAGAGCTAGCTCAACAGGTGGATGAGATCCAGCTCACAGATGCTGAAAGAGAGAGGGAGAATGAAGCCAAGCTAGCTGAGCTGCGTGCTTTGTCCATTGTAGCAGATGATTGATACTGGACAATGATGAAGGGATTGCAAAATTGTTATATGGAAATGTTACCTAAGGTGACATCGGCATAAGCGCTAACTGGATCCATGTTAAGCAAATAAGGTACTCACAATATGAACCCCTGCTGGGCCTGTGCTGACACTGAAGTATTTACCACTGACATTCCATGATGCCTGACAATAGCTGCTAATACACTCCTTGTACAGCACAGTAACCCATATCTGATATCCCACATAGTCCTTTGCTGACTCTATGACTCCGTATTTTCCTGTTACATTGAAAACTGCAACTATGTGAAGTACGTGGAGATTGAATGAACTCCTAAAGTGCCTTTGTAATCATTTTACTAAAAGTTGACTGTTCTGGTTAAAAGCTTCTATACATTGTGCTCTTCGTTTGTCAAATGATCTTAAATGAGAACTGTGTTTTTCCCGTGCAGCATTTAAACATGTTATAAATACATGAGAGCTTCAAGTTGCTATGGGCTACAAAACCATTTTTCTTTCAGACCATTTAAGAAGTGAAGATATATGCGGTCAATCAAACCAGCTGGACTAGCACAGCAAATACTAACAAGATTATGTTGTTCAGATTCACACTTTTGTGTCCTTTCTTTTTCATTCTTATGTTAATTTTCTCTCATCATTTAAAAAAAAAAAAAAACTTTAAAGCTGAATTCCAGGAATTATATTTTTTTGCATACCTAGATTGGGCTAAGCATGGCCAAAGTAAGTATACATTTCTGATATCCAGAGGGTCGTTGGGGATGCTGTAAATCATTGTAAAAGTCTGTGCTGCATACTGTACAGTGAGAGCTGTGATCTTCCAGGTTCTGTGTAAGCAGCTTCTCCTTTGCACACTGACCACAGGGGGTCACTTTCTCAGCACCTCTGCCACTCCATAGAATGTTTTGTTTTGTTTTTTTAATTACATTTTTATTTCTTAATGAATACAGAGTATTGTTTTATCGGATGAGGTAGAGAGAGTTATGTCAACGACCCTCCTCTCCACCTTGGCCACCCAAATCTGCCATAATGTGCCTGGAGCCTGCAAGGACACCACCATGTGACAGCTAATGGAAAATATTCTCATCACCCAGACAGCAAAGTGGGTACCTAGAAAATATTCACATCACCCAGACAGCAAAGTGGGTGCCTAGGAAATATTCATATCACCCAGGCAGCAAAGTGGGTGCCTAGGAAATATTCATATCACCCAGGCAGCAATGTGGGTGCCTAAAAAGGATCCTCCTATTCTTCAGTCCAAAAAGAACTGGGACTCACCAGTGCACCATTTTCCTGCAGATTTACTGTTAGTAAAAGTGAAGGACCCCAGAAAAGGAGGTTCGTGGCTGCTCTGTGCAATACCATTACACAGAGCGAGTGAGCGTAACATGTTTATTATTTTAATTTAAAAATTTTCCTTTTACAAACATTTTAAGTGTAACATATACAGAGAGGCACCAACAGGCACCTCAGAGAATAATGAGATTTTCTTTGTTGTTCAGACCAGTGTGATGGCAAACACAGGAGAAATGACACTAGTGTGAATGGGGGCTTAGGATGAATGTTACTGGTTTTTTTATATATATATATATATATATATATATATAGTCAGGTTCATAAATATTGGGACAGCGACTCAATTCTAACATTTTTGGCTCTATACACCACCACAATAGATTTTCAATGAAACAAACAAGATGTGCTTTAACTGCAGACTGTCAGCTTTAATTTGAGGGTATTTACATCCAAATCAGGTGAACGGTGTAGGAAATACAACAGTTTGCATATATGCCTCCCACTTGTTAAGGGACCAAAAGTAATGGGACAATTGGTTTCTCAGCTGTTCCATGGCCAGGTGTGTGCTATTCCCTCATTATCCCAATTACAATGAGCAGATAAAAGGTCCAGAGTGCATTTCAAGTGTGCTATTTGCATTTGGAATCTGTTGCTGTCAACTCTCAAGATGAGATCCAATGAGCTGTCACTATCAGTGAAGGAAGCCATCATTAGGCTGAAAAAACAAAACAAACCCATCAGAGAGATAGCAAAAACATTAGGCGTGGCCAAATCAACTGTTTGGAACATTCTTAAAAAGAAGGAACGCACCGGTGAGCTCAGCAACACCGGAAGACCATGGAAAACAACTGTGGTGGATGAGCAAAGAATTCTTTCCCTGGTGAAGAAAAACACCCTTCACAACAGTTGGCCAGATCAAGAACACTCTCCAGGAGGTAGGTGTATGTGTGTCAAAGTCAACAATCAAGAGAAGACTTCACCAGAGTGAATACAGAGGGTTCACCACAAGATGGAAACCATTGGTGAGCCTCAAAAACAGGAAGGCCAGATTAGAGTTTGCCAAACGACATCTAAAAAAAAGCCTTCACAGTTCTGGAACAACATCCTATGGACAGATGAGACCAAGATCAACTTGTACCAGAGTGATGGGAAGAGAAGAGTATGGAGAAGGAAAGGAACTGCTTATGATCCTAAGCATACCACCTCATCAGTGAAGCATGGTGGTGGTAGTGTCGTGGTGTGGGCATGTATGGCTGCCAATGGAACTGGTTCTCTTGTATTTATTGATGATGTGACTGCTGACAAAAGCAGCCGGATGAATTCTGAAGTGTTTCGGGAATATTATCTGCTCATATTCAGCCAAATGCTTCACAACTCATTGGACGCTTCACAGTGCAGATGGACAATGACCCAAAGCAGACTGCAAAAGCAACCAAAGAAGTGGAATGTTCTGCAATGGCCAAGTCAATCACCTGACCTGAATCCGATTGAGCATGCATTTCACATGCTGAAGACAAAACTGAAGGGAAAATGCCCCAAGAACAAGCAGGAACTGAAGACAGTTGCAGTAGAGGCCTGGCAGAGCATCACCAGGGATGAAACCCAACGTCTGGTGATGTCTATGCGTTCCAGACTTCAGGCTGTAATTGACTGCAAAGGATTTGCAACCAAGTATTAAAAAGTGAAAGTTTGATTTATGATTATTATTCTGTCCCATTACTTTTGGTCCCTTAACAAGTGGGAAGCACATATGCAAACTGTTGTAATTCCTACACCGTTCACCTGATTTAGATGTAAATACCCTCAAATTAAAGCTGACAGTGTGCAGTTAAAGAACATCTTGTTCGTTTCATTTCAAATCCATTGTGGTGGTGTATAGAGCCAAAAATGTTAGAATTGTGTCCATGTCCCAATATTTATGGACCTGACTGTATATAAAATGTAAAAAAAAAAATCGGAAGAAAAAAAATGAATAGCCAAGGGGACGAACAATGTTAACCAGGGCTGATTAGAGTTAAAGAGGAACAAGATTGTATCTGAGTACCACAAACTGAAAACACCATGTCATTCATTTTTAATATTCAGAGCAAGTCTCATCCACATCCATTTAATAATGATAGCAGCATAAGGATTAAAAATAATAACTGTTGGTTGAGAGAGTTTACTTCCACGTTAGCAAAGGGCTAATAAGGAAATCAGTAGGAAGACATTTTATTTAAACTATTAGTTAACTTCTAAAGTTTCTTTAAAGCGGTAGTCTTGGTCTTAAACAAAAAAAATTGACCCCCTGCAGATTTAAGTCCTAATATAATATTATGCTCTGCATAATCGCATAATCGTAAATTGTGACAGACTTTACCTATGGAGCCCTCCATCGCATCACGACTCCCCCGGCACTTCCATCTTTGCATGGTCTTCCTTCCAGGTTTCCTAACTTCGGCCGCTTGAGGTGACCTCACTCCTACGCATGCGCACGGGAGTCAGATTGCCGTGGCATGCAGAACAGGCCACAAATGTAGTCTGAGTTGTGCATGTGCAGCTCAGATCACATTACACGCTGATGGGGGAGATTTATGACCGAAGAGACACCTTGGGTCACTTCTGTTATTAAAGCCCTGCCTGTTAGTGGATTTTCTGTTTCTTCAGTTTGCCAGCACTTTAAAGAATAAGTTCACCTTTGGGAACATGTTACATATTCCAATCGTTTTAAGAGTGGACCATGTAATATGTTCCCAATGCTGCAGTTAGCGCCCCCCCGTGACAGAAGCACGGGAAGAAGTTCCCCGTATTAGCTGTCAGTTTTTAAAAACAGCGTGGCCATGCGGGGCTTCACCCACACCCACACAGCTGCATCATTCATTCACAGTGCTCTGTGAATGAATGAACTACAAATACCGACAGTCTCAGTGGCTGTCGGCTTCCAGTTCCCAATGAACTAACACAGCTCTCTGAAGCACCGTGGTAGTTAATTGAATCTTCCTGTCAGTATGTTGATGGGGGATCCCCCCACAGAGCTTTTGTATTCTGACAGCAGGAGGTTTCTTAGCTATCAGAATACAATGATCACTGCCATTTCGTATAGCAACCTGCAGTGATCGAATGGTGAAAAAAAAAAAAAAAAGCCCAACAGGCTGGTTGTAGTGAAGGCGATCGAGCAGTCTACTTCAGCACAAGCAAGCTGCACATACATGGATTGAAATTTGGCTGGTTCCTGGCCACATTTCGATCAGTCTCTGGCCGGCTTAATGTTGTAAATCCTGAAGTGGTTAAACGAGGAATTGTTTCCATGAGCACAGTTTGTTTTGTTTTTTTTTGTTTTTTGTTTTTCTTTGCTCAAATGTTCAAAATGATTTTGTGATGTATACAAGAGTCTGTTTCACATTACCCCTAAGGTAATTTGTTTAATGATACCATCCCGCTATGTAGGTTGCAAGTAGGTGTGGTGGAGGTGTGGAGGACAGAAGATGCCAGTTTTATTAAAAAAAAAAAAAAAAGTTTGCACTGCTTTTGATGTATAGTAACATGTTCTTTTTTATGTTCTGCTTTTAGTATCAGATGCTGATCAGAAAGTATGACTATCTCCTACCTCACAATTTATGTTCCTTCTAAAGTGAGCTACACAAACACCTCCATCCGTCCAATAACATCGTTATAATGTGACTGTATCACTAGGAGCTCTGAGATTGTCGCCTTCTTGTGGC